AAATACGTTGTGTGTGTGTGTGTGTGTGTGTGTGTGTGTGTGTGTGTTGTAATACGGCACGATGTCGGGAGGTACGTTCTTAACGAAGAGCTTGACTAGGCAATTTCGGCGTGCATCATCATTCCGATTGCACCGATATAATTATTGTATATTTTTTTTCTGTCCTCCTCCCTCCCTTCCTCCTTTCCATCGCGTGATTCTCCGCGTGAGATATCGATAGCTAATCGGCATATCGCGACTGAGATCAGAGCGATTACCGAGTCGCAACGATGGCCAAGTGTACACAGCACTCCGTGAAATCTATCTCTAGCTTGTAAGTCGACGTAAATATAAATCTTAGCGATTTCTTCGTCCTTAAATTAAACAGCACTCCGTGTCCTGCGCTCCGTGTTCCCATCGGATGTTATTTGACTAGATTTTTTTTCCGATCTTCACTCGTTTTTCGGTCTAGCGGCTGTTTTGCCGTTCACCGCCTCGTCCGACTGGCGATGCCTCGCCTGCTCTCGCAGCTGTGCACGTTTCAGGCTTGTCATTAATTGACTGGACTGGTAAAGCCAACTAGCCTGAAAGGTCACGACGATCATGCGCGTGTGGCTATGCCTCGGTGACATTCAATTCTCGTAAATTGTTATACTCACCACCATGATCATGCAATTTATTAAAATAGGTACCGAAAACACGACGGATATAAACAGGCCTTGCGAATCGAAATACTGTTGTTTAGAGAATCTCCTGCGAAAATTGTTAACGAGATTAAAGTCAGAGCGGGAAAACGGTCTAGGGAATCTCCTGCGAAAATTGTTAACGAGATTAAAGTCAGAGAAGGAAAAGAAAGAAACCATCTCAATCGTAAGTTAATACGTACATCCAGTTTGTTGCCGCGACCTCGTTAATACTTTCCGAGAAGTAAACCAAGAGCACTAAAACAGAAATTATTCGTTGTATACGGAGAGCACAAGTAGATCTCTACAGATCGTAATTACGGCAAGGAAATAGACTCTTACGGAGTACAAGAAATAGAATTATCTGAAAGTTTGCGTGATTCCTCGTCATTAAGGCAGTCATTGTGACAACAATGTGGAAAGTTAACAGCGCGACCAGCCATGGATCCCTCCAATCGATCTGCAACGAAAGATCCATAGAAAATATATATGAACTTTTGAAAATATATGAGCTTTTAATTTCGAGCTGAAATGAAACTAATATCGAGATATCGCATGCGTAAGGAACATAGTTTTTCAGTGCGTGTGAAAGACTTCACGATCTGCGCTGTCTTATCTCTTAAAGTATCCTTTCAC